ACGCAGCAACAAACCGAAATCGGCAATTCACGATTGCAGCACAGTCGATAGTTAGCGAAGTAGACGTGTGTTGATAATTCACTAAGTTATTTTTCAGTTCTTCAGTGGAACTGAGGCCAAAATAACTTGTCAGCAAGTGCTGTTTTCTTACCTCGAAACTCTGGTCTTCCGCCATGTTGCTTTCTGCACAGACGAGGCTATTTTCCGTTCCATTCTCCTCTCAGAGCCTCGTTCCAAGTCCGCTCGCGTGGAGCGAAGAAAAAGCCTCGTTTCGCGATCTCCAGAGAAGGAACTCCTCAAGTTCCAATACAATGTGTAACTTTAGCCATTTACTTGTTCAACCCTCAGTACAAAACCGGAAAGCATGGTCGATGGCAAGCATATGCCTGATTGTGGCGTAACCGGAAATAAAACAAAAAAGCCTAATGGAGTGTCTTAACTGTTTTTACTGCGTTTTCTGTGCCCTATGACCTGTGCCCTGTGCCCTGTGCCCTGTAACCTGTGCCCTGTAACCTGTGCCCTGTGACCTGTGACCTGTGCCCTGTAACCTGTGCCCTGTAACCTGTGACCTGTGACCTGACCTGTGACCTGTGACCTGCGTTTTGTACCTGCCGCTCCTGAGATGTTTTTATTCTTATTACCCATAGGCCGGCCATTTACAGGGACCCATAGGCCAACCATTTACAGGGCTTTTCCAAATTTCATCTCATTTCACTTCATCTCATTTTATCTCATTTCATTTGTTATTGTTTATTCCCTCTCGAGTTTGGGGACGAACCAGCACTCCTATGCACCTCGTTCTGCCTTTTGGGCATCCTCTTACGAGTGGTTCTCAGTGCAATTACAGCTCTACTCAACGCCCTGGACACCGTCTACAAGGGAGTTTCCCCATTTTCCCATATATTCCCTTCCAATGTTAATGATGGAGCTGCGGGCCTTCACCCAATCATTAACAAGGGTATCTGGTTACTAGCATTACCAGAGGGGGCCCGCATTTTTTCCACACCAGTAATACTTTCACCAAGATGCACTCTAGTAATATTTCAAACTAGCCCTATATATGAGTCCAATTCAATATTCTCGAAAATGTGGGATGTAATTTGTGTGTCCTCCTCCAATGGGTTTTTCCCTCTGGTAATACGCAGTCTCAGTGGAAGCAAATATTGTATAAAAGTAAAAAATCTAAAGATAGTGTATAGAAATGTGTAGTGAAGAAGTTCACGAGTTATTGATCCAGGAAAGTCATATTAATTGTATCTTTTGTAATAAACAGATCCATGACCCTGGTAAGCCCAAGCGATATTTTTGTTGCGAAAATATGAAACTGATAAAGGATAAACTTCTTGTGTGTAAGAATTGTGGCCAAGCACATAATTATTCAATAGCAGACGAGTATGTGGATTTTTATGAGAATAGACACAGGATAAAAAGAAAGTCTGTATACCACAGAAAATATCATATTTTGAATGTCATCAATGATATTGCAGACGATAATAATATACAAGTTGGTTATTATAATAGGGAGAAGATTCTGAGAATATTTCGGTTGATTGACCAAGTTATACCGCAAGTCAATAATTTTCGCAGAAGACGGCTTATTAGTGTGAATTTTATTATAAAACAACTTTTTGATATTTTAGGAGTAGAATATAAGATTATTCCTCTCACTCGATCAAAAAATACACTACGATATTATGAAAATTGGTGGGAGAGAGTTTATTCCTTAATCAAGGCCGATATTAGCCGTCTGGTTTCTCAGAATTCAGACAGGAAGTAGAGGGAAAGCCCCTAACAGCAAATAGATTTTACTCATTGAGCGAGAGGCCTTGAGGACGAGGTTGTTGTCTCAAACTCTCCGCCATTTTGTTTTACATTTTCTCTTGGATGGGAGAGGAATTTTTTAGCGTACTGCTTTTCGAATCTTGTCACTAATGAGGCGAAATCGATAACTGTTTCATCGAGGACTGTCATCTCCTTCAAGAAGTCATCTTTATCAAAGGTACCACCTCGCAGCGAAGTCCTCAACTCGACTAATACTTTACTGTAAGTCGTGTAACAAAATTTAGATAATTCTATTTTTTTCTTGTAGTCTTTCGTCTCAGAAAATGTTTTTAGAACTAAACCAGCTCCTGATACGCTTCCTAGAATGGCTGGGTTGGCTGTCAAACCACCAGCAACAGCTCCAACTACTATCAGGCCAGATGATGTTATGTTTAATAGGAGATTCAGCTTCTTAAAGTGTTTATAGGCCTTTTGATAAACCCAGAACTTGAAATGATAATACTTGTACAGTTCTTTGATTTCCTGTATCTCTTCTTTTGTTTTGCTTTTATCTATATGATTAAACCGAAATATGTTTTCTTTTTCACTCATTATATTATTGGTCTAGACAAGTTAAAGAACATAAGAACCGCCTGATTTTTCCTGCAACATAATTCTATGAAATTCTAAAGAATCGAAGTCATGAAAGTTTGGAGTGTACATTACTCTATAGATCACTGTATCTTCTGAGAATATTCTGAATGTATAGGTACTTTGATATGTTAAAGTTGATCTTAGTGTTAATGTTGCACTATGATTACTGATTGATGCCTTTGCTGCTACGTCACCCCCTGTACCTTTCTTAGTCAACCAAAACACAACGCGTTTACCATTGAAACTGTTTAGTAATGTAATAGAAGTTTCGTTAGTTGACCCATGACCAGTAGTTTGCAGTTTTAATTTCTTTGTTGTTTTGTCATAAATCAAATGTGGTCTTTCATAAGCTCCATTACTCATCAATGTTTTAATACTAAATGATCTTTTCAGCCACAGTTGCATAACAACACAAAGAGTAAAGCTCCTTTTACCGAATAATTCCAAACTTAATGTGGTATTTTTTATCCTCAATCCGCCCTCCCAAATATTGGCAGTATCCATTCTAGGAAAATAGATATTAGGTAGGATGCCTGAAACCATGATACCTGATATTCCTATTATTATTTTATAGTTACTAGCATCACTTAAATCATAAAATTCCTCAAATATCTCCCTATATGCATTATTCTTTGTATAAGGGCTCAATTTTGTATCCGAATCTTTGACCATCTTCACAGTAGCAGCCGAATTATTCTTTGTTTTATCAGGCGCAATATTCAGTATTTTCTTTCTGTTCATATCCAGATCTACATTGTAAACAACTTCAGTCGGCTTAATATCAAATGCCGTATGATAATCATATGTCTTTTGGGGATCGATCGATGACACTTTTGCGAAAACACCATAAGCAATCATCCAGTTATTTGTCCGATTTTTTGGGTAAGTGTTGAGGTCAATGCCTGTCTGAGGTATATCAACGTAAAGATTCAGACTGTAATATGTACCTGATACAGCTTTTTGAAAGTTTACAATTATTTTTATATCATACATACGCAGTGTTCCCACTACTATTTGTGTACTGGTGAGAAAACTTTTGTACCGTAAAACCAGCAACTGATACCCCCTTTGATGTGGTTTTATTAATTGTAGCAACTGATTTATGCCATAATTGGTAATCTGAATTGACGATTTCAATACAAAGAGTATAATCTTTATCCTTATTAAGTTGATAACAATTGATTCCCATTCCATAAGAGTATCCTCCTTGCTTATCTTTTACAATGGTTGTATTTAGAACTTTGTGGTTGTATTGATGGTAGTTACCATCTTGGGGCATTAAATTATCAATTTTAGTAATGTCAAAACTATCGATGTTATTCGGTTCGAGATCAGTCCATGCTAATCTATTAGTCATTAGATACTTAAATTCATTATTGTAATGGCTGGGTTTAACATGTGATTTTTCTAAATACTGTTTATTAACAGCATCAGTAGCATTAGTTGGGTCAGCTAGTCTGGTTATTTTTTTGTTTCCCATGTTCAAATTACCAGTCATAATATTAGTGCCCCTCCTCTGTAAAAATTTATTGTTGGACAATCCAACAGATGCTACTTCATCATTATATTCGTTCCCGGATTGTATAATACCAATTAAAGCAGCATTAGAAACAATGAATACATTGTGTGATCTTCTATACCCAGGTGGGGTATACTTATTGAAGAATTCAAAGTCCATTGCATCACCATTTGCTGTTGCTGTTGCAAGATTAGTGATTTTATTATTGGACATATTTAGTGGTCCAGCCATAACTCCATTGGACTTATTCAGGAATTTATTTCCTGTCCATATTTTTGTAGCTGGTTGATTATCACCATTTGGTTGTGCTACATTGTATATCCTATTATTATTATTCATATCCAAATTGCCCGTCATTAATCCACCAGAAAGCGATAGTTTAGTATCAAGTTGATTTTTAGTTACGGCATCGGTGAAAGAAGTTCCATTAGCCATACCTTTCAGTTGTTTACCTAACATATTATAATCCCCCCTTGGTGTGAGATTAAATCCAACACCTTTTGGTCCTTGATCACCTTTTAGACCGTGGTTACCCTGATCACCTTTGGGTCCTTGAATACCCTGATCACCAGCGGGGCCAGATGGGCCAGGTGGGCCAGAAGGTCCTTGAGGGCCAGTAATACCGTGTTTTTCTTTCGTATATGATTGATTATAATTAGGTTGTTGATTAAATATTCCCATTTTATAATAGTATATTAGTTATTTCCATAAAAGTTTCTTTTGACAGTCTTCATTGGTTTATCCACATATAGGAATGAGTAGGGTTGTGTTGTTGCTTTAATATACTGATCCTTTGTTACATTCAACTCTCTAGAAATCATATTTCTCTCATTACTACTAGGGAAATCATAAATTACATAATGACTGCAGTTTAGTCTGATATCTTTTGGAGTTTTATAAAATGATTGTGAAAGGTAAATAACACTGCAGTTCTTATGACGGCCTTGAATAAAATAATCGATAAGCGGCTTTTGATTTTTATCACAAATGAAGTCATCAAATATTACAATTTTCTGGGCATCGCTCTCCAGACTATTTACAGGTTTAATGTCATCATTATTGCAGTGCATTATGTCATAGCCAACCTGGCTACTAATATCATTCATTGTTTCTATCATGTGTCGATACTTTTCCTGTTCCAGATTTTTGCCATATAAATGGATCTGGTCATAGTAGACTAATGGTTTCATAAGTATGTGATAAAGTAGATTTGTTTTACCCGAACCTGAATTGCCACAAATCAGCATCCTAAAATTGGATTTGGGCATGTACTTATACAGCTGTTTGAAGTTTGTATTTTCGTCTTCATTGAAATCATAATTTGGAATATCCATATAATATTATGTTAGATAAATTGAGATAAGTTTTATACAACACAATAGTATAATGGATATAGAAAGATTCAAGAGACTCAGTATTCCTAAAATTGAAGCAGGAAAAATGACTGAAGTTGTTAGGGATGTTATAAAAGAAGTTGGAACTAACAAGCAGAATGTTTACGAAAAGACGTCTGAAGACCTGAAACCTCTAACGGAAAAGTTTGATAAGGAGATAGAGGAGATCAGTAAATTGAGAGAAGATGTTAATAAACAAATTGTTCCATACGCTGAGCAAGTTCAAAGATTAGCATTACCAGGCCCAAGTGGTGAGGTGGCACCCAAAATGATAGCTGATATGAATAAAGGATCAAGAAGAATTGGCATTCATACAAACCCAGGAATTGCCATTACTAGCTGACATCTTTTTACGAATCCTAAAGGAACCAAATTATGCGAAACAAATATTAGAAAAATCCGGTGCAATAAATAAGAAATTGGGTCAGAAAAAAGCCCATTTGAGCACAACAAAAGCTAACAGAAAGAAAAATAAGGATGAAATTGCCGAGTATACTGAAGGAATTGATATCATAAGAAAATACAGACAAGGAATTGGTATTGTAGAGGAAGGCACGAAAACACTGAAAACTAGTCAGGGTATTTATACACAAAAAAAGAGGAATGCCTATAAGATTAACCCTAATACTGGTGTTTATGGAAATGTAACAATTGATGTGCCCAAACTTTATGGCCAGCTTAAATTAATTGCTCATAAGGATGGTAAAAAAGTCTACGCTAAGCAAGTGGATTTTGATACCCTTGATCTGCTCACAAAGCGGCTCAATAGTAAAAAGAAGTATTCACCATTATCAAAAATGGTATTCGGTGACCTAAACAGAATAAGTGATATTCCAATTCACCGAACAAGTAATAAATACAAAAAAATCGGTTCAGGGGTTGTTTATTATAATAATCCAGCTGACCTACTGGACAGATTGGAATTATTAGGTGGATCCATATTGGCTGGAAATAATGGCGTGAAAAATGAATTTTCCAAAATTGCTCACACACTGAACAAATTAGGTGTTCTAAATAATATCCAGCTTAATAGTCTGTTGAAGGAATATGTAATCTAATAATATAAATGCAAGAAAGAGCAATCCATATATTATCTGTTAATAGACAGAAAATCGGACGGAATAAAGCAGAGGACTTCATAATCAAATTTGATCCAGTGTTAAAACTCCAAAATAACATGACACATGAAATAGCCTTGGATAAGGCCACTATAACTTACAGTTGGCACAATATTTCAGAACAGTATCAAAATAAGGAAATAAAATACTCACCTGATGGTGGCACATCATGGGAAACCGTCACATTTGTGGATGGGATGTACACTTATTCAGACCTAAATGACTATCTCCAACAGTACATGAGAAAGAAAGGCCACAAAACTACTGATGCAAAAAAGGATGATGTAAACTATATTAATCTAACATTCGTATTATCGACATACAAGATTCTCATTAAGATCGACAATAATTACCAACTGGATCTGAGAAATAGTAAATTTGGCGAGTTAATTGGATTTACAGAGAAAATTGTGACAAAAACAGAATATGGGACAATTCTTCCCAATATCACAAATTCCATTGATATGATCTACATCAATACCGATGCTATTACGAACAGCATATTGAATGGTGTTAATAGTAATACGTTAGCAGTCATTCCAACTGACAATTAACTAGAAGCTTTCCATTCACATTTGAACCCAGAAGACTATTGTTTAATGAAGTTTCCCAACTTAATATTTCACAAATGAGGTTTTATATCACAGACTCACTGGGGCGACCAATTGGACTAAATAAGATTGACTGGTTTATGACATTGATATTGCGATCCAAACCAGCATAATATCTAACCTAATAATATACAATGAGACAATCAGGATTTAAGAGACGTTATGATGTTAAAACGGGGAGATATGTTAAGAAGCATATTTATGGAGAAGGTGTTACCGATGTTTTCAAAACAATTTGTAGAAAGCTATTTGGAAAGACGATGAAAGAGGCTGCTAAAACGGCAACAAAAAAGGCCGTTCAAAAAGCTGCTACTAA